GGAACCCTGCTGTTAAGGTTGGCTCCTTTCTCAGCAGGAGCTTCCTGCCTGACTTACCTGGAAAGTGCCACCAAGCACTGATGTTTGGCCTCATTTAAAACATGACCTTTGGCATAGTTACCTGGAGTAAAAACTACCCCCAGGTTTTTTCTATATGATAATTGGGCAGCCTACCGCCTGCTGCCACATGTAAATAAAGCATACTATGAGCACCTATCAGCTGAAGCATTGGCTACTGCCTCCACACTATATTTTCCCTAACATCCCACTGAATAAACGAAGCTGTTTCACTGAATCTGGAGCTGTTTCACTGAGTCTGAAGCTGTTTGTATCACTGAACCTGCCTCCCGGAAGAGCTTTATTCCGTAGGTGCTCACTGGCCATCCTGACCCCATTCGTCACTTCTGCTCCCTTTGTCCTCATGAACGGTGGCCAACAACCCACGAGGAGAGGGAGAGACCCCACAGGTTACGGGTAGGGAGTCTGGGATTTATAGGTAGATCCAGAAAAATCCAATAAAGGGGAATGTCCCTTCCTGGGTGCTGTTCTGCTTCTTCCTGGGATCTGGGAAGGAGAGATGGAGAGTTCAGATAGGGAGTTTGATAAGCAACTAGATCTACAGGAAGGCTGATAAGGAACCAGATGTCTTTTGGTAGGGGCCATGTGTTCTGAGATAGCTGTATCTCCCTCCTACATCATGCCTCCTACAGTAGAGAGGCGTGGTGGGGGAATGGTCAATTCATTCAGTCACTAGTCATAACGATTTTTATTTCATAGATTACAAAGAATTTCCTATCACTCTCCATTCTAGAAAGATGTAGAGTGTGTGGAACAAACTGGGGATATCCTTCTAAGGAAGCAGTTCATCTTGGGTATGGCCTGTAGAAATCAAGTTCCTTCCTTGTAATCCTCTTCAAACTGCAGTTTCTCTGACTGCCCACTCCAACAATCCACCTTGTCATATTCAGGTTATATTTCCTCCCAGGAGAGGCTCTCCTGGCATCCATCTCATGCCTCTGTATGACAAGAAACACAGGAATCTTTCTTTTGTCTGAGTTTACCGGGAGACTGCAGACATCTCAGGAAACAGTTCTAGTTGACTTCCCAGAGGAGTTTTAAAGGAATAGAGACCGGGGAACGGTCCTCTGAACATCCTAATGAAAGCACATCTTTCCTGCTTTTCTGTGTTTTTCAAGTGTTCATACAAGGTCAATCTTACCTTTGAATGCTAGTGTTTTCACAACTGTGCTTTGAGACACATTCCTATTCACTATGAACATCAGTGTGTGTTTGTACCAAGAGATTCTATACCTGCCTGATATGGAGGATCTGTGAAGAAACAGTTCAGTAACAATTGTCTTGGTGACCTCTCAAAGCTCTGCTATGACACTGTCCTGAGGATTCATTATGTAGCAAAACATGAAGTCCAGACCTACATTAATAAATATTCTTTCAGCAGGCATGCTGATGTTCTCCTTTAATCCCAGTACTGAGGAGGCAGAGGCAGGTGGATCTCTATAAGGTAGAGGACAGTTTGGGCTACACAGTGAGTTTCAGGCTGGGGCTTCAGGGAGACCCTGTCTCAAAAAGACAAAATAAATAGATAAATGAAATATTCTTTAATAAAAAGACAACATGGATTCCTTGTGGAAAAAGCCATGGGCCTGAAATTAGAGATAATTTCAAAATTCTTTAATCTCAACTCCAGTACTAAGTATGAAAATTGGAAAAGCCCACAAAGTATATTTTTCCTGCTTCACTTCTTGCTCTATTTACTTTAATTGGACTTAGGGATATTTTATAATAGATTGCAGTTTTGTTCAGCCAAAGATCTATGCAGGATTTATAAAGGAAAAAGTAAATACAACGATGTGTCTGTCCTGAACATAAGGGACACAGTCAAGTCTAGTGAATTTCCAACTTCTTAATAATCAAAAACATTTCAGAGATGGAACTATTGGGTCAACACTGTACTCTTATTTTAAATGTAATGCCATGAATCACTATGTCTCATCTTTCTATAATCAAAAAACAAAAACAAAAACATAAAAGCATTTTGCATTTTTAGACAGGAAGCAACTTGCTACCTGTGATGTTTCTTCTATATGAAAACTCAAATGTTCATTCAATAAATACTTATTGAATGTTAGTTAACTTTATGCCAAGCTTAATTTAGGGCTGAAAGGTTAATTCAATCAGGACAATCCCTCCATTTGTAGAATTCATAGTCTATTGAGGAAGAAGTACATATTTTACATAGTCTATGTCTAATTTATATAAAGCCCTCTAAACTGGACAGTAAATTCTATGCTGGTAAAATTTATTACAGCAAAGCAGGCCGTAAATGCTGGAGTAAAGGTGAATGTTGTAACCTCAAGAATGACAGCATGGTGTCATATGGGGTTGTGTGTTTTAGAAAAATAAAATGACAATGTCTGGGGTCCTGGATTCTTTCCCAACACAGGGAAAAAAGAGAAAAAGAGAAATAAACAGTAGAAGACAAGAGAGAAAAAGAAAAGATGCAATTACAGGACTCATAGGATTAATGAGTGAGAAATTCCATGTCAGAGACACACTTGCTAAATTATTGTGTGACTCAGAGTCAAGTCAAAGACCACAGAGTTCATAAGGCTTAACTAAATGGATTTGCAAAGGTTTCACTAATTTGTATGTAAAGACAACACAATTAGTGCCAAATTCACTCTGTTTTATCATCTCTTTGTGTACTTTACTTAACAATCTAAGAAGCTATGAGAAATGGAAGGTCAGTAGCCAACCCTAGATGTGGAACTTTTGCACAGTGTCATTAACAGGTAGCAATTTTGGATGAGTTTAGGTAAGTCCTTAACTGTGTGCTTCAGCTATTTAGTGTAAGATTTGCTGTATACATGTGTATGAATAGATGTGTACATGTCCCTGCATTTGATGTTGAGCTTGACTATAACATGATCACCAGCAAGATGACCATTAATGGCACTGGAGCATTTAATTTATACGTGATGCAGTAAGTGTGCAGAAAATGTTGACCAAGTATTGTTTCACCTATTGATAATCAGCCTCAAAGAGAAAAAGCTACTTTTCCAGAACTAGTTCTTTTGACCATGTCATTAAACAGTTGAGATCTTTTCTCAAGGAAATATTCTAAGTGCAGATTTATAAAATAGAGTTGATTGGTGACTATATTAATACAATTTGATTTTCTAGTAAAAATGGAAATAGAGCAATAATCAACTTTGGTTTCATCTATTTTGAAAAATATCACATCGTATACTAGCATGATTTTTTATTTAGTTAAAAAAAGATTTGGAAAAAATTATAATGAACTTAAGGATACATGCTTCACAAGGTTATCTAAAATTTTGTCACTCAGATATATACATCTACATATATACGTATACAGTTTGCTTTGTAGAGAAAGTTGTAGAAAATGCAGTGTGTGAGTAGTACTCATTTTGAGATTGTGATAGCAAAGATTCTTTTCTCATAGGTAAATTCATCAAATAATCTGATTTTCTATAAAATGTCAGGATATTCATGCTTACCTCGGATTGGAATGACAAGCCACAGGACAGAGAGCAACACCCAAGACATGCTGGCTTCAGCACGTAGCTGACAGCAGCCAGGCAGCACGAAGCTGTGATCTCCCCACTGGTCTATCTGTGAATTGTTTAGAAGCTGGAAAATAAGGTCTTATATTTGACTTGTGAGATTAGGAGCTATTGCCCAATTGCGTTGGGAAATAGCCAAGGAACTGAAGTGTCAAAATCCTGAGAATGTTCCTACTTTGTGGTATATTTACATCTGTGGTAAAGCTCGTGAAGAGCCCACAGCTGGATCATTGCTTGCCTTGAGTTTCATCTTGGAGGGACTGTGCAAACAGAGGCTGAAGTGCTCACATGAATCTTTGCACGTACATTTACATAGCTACAAATGTATGAAGCATGTCAGTGTTGTGTCTATATTTCAAGGACCTGCCACAGAAAACAGCATCCTTTTTTTCTCTTTTTGAGACAGGGTCTCCCTCTAGCCCTAGCTGGCCTGGAACTTACTTTGTAGACCAGACTGGACTCAGTCTCACAGAAATTAACCTGCCTCTGCCTCCCGAGTGCTGGTACTAAAGGCATGTGCCACCACATAGCT